GTATATGCATGTGTAGGGGGCATGAGTGTAGGATTTTTAAAAAAAAGGTGTTGCTTGAGCTAAATTTTGAAATATGAGTGGGAGTTACCCGAGTGGCTAAGGGGAAAAAAAAAAAAAAAGCATTCCAGGAAGAGGTAAAAGCACATGCCAAGGCATGGACTGCTATATGGGGACTCTAGCTTAGATGGTATGAAGCCAGCCGGTTGCTGGATAGAAATAGGCAAGGAAAACTGCCTTCACATTATGAATCAGCCCCCCAAATTGGTTTGAGACAGTATGCTTAAAATATTTGTTTAGAAGGGAATATGTATTTGAATTTTAGGAGGTTAAAAAAAAAACCCAGAGAATTGAATTTTCCAAGGCCAGTTAGTAGGATAGCCCTGATAAGCACCAGAGCTGACCAGTAGCACATTGCTTGGCCTTTGGACCCAATAAGAAACTCCTCTCCATAGCATAAGAGCTGCTAGGTGGTGACTGTAGTGAATCACTGGGCTTTCCCTCTGGGAGACCCATAAACTTAATTAAGAGACTCCAAAAAGAAAAAAAAAATGGAGAGAGAGAAAGTGATCTAGGCAGCCCACACACTGTTGTTTTAGTGAGAAGACCCCAGTAAGACGAAATATTTCTCACAAACAAATGGCAATCAGGTATGTAAAAGGGCTCTAACTACAACGTGTTATCCAAATATAAGACACTGTCATTATTATCATAAGAAGCTAAGAGTGTGGCTAGTTCACTGAAAGCACATGGGCAAAAGTAATTTTGACAGGGCAATGGCAGGGGGCTAACAATGGAGCTGCCAGAGGAGGCACAGAAACAGCAGTTGCGTTTCATTGATGCCTGGGAAAAGGCATACTTACTCTACAAAGATTCCTATAGATACTCTGTAAAACTGTAATTTCCCCTCACTTTTCTTACTCTATAGTAAATGATTGGAGAAATGTGGACTGTGGGGACGATTGGGTGGCTCAGTGGGTTTAAGCCTCTGCCTTTGGCTCAGGTCATGATCTCAGGGTCCTGGGATTAAGCCCCGAATCAGGCTCCCTGCTCAGCAGGGAGCTTGCTTTCCCCCCTCTCTCTGACTGCCTCCTTGTGATCTCTCTCTCTCTGTCAAATACATAAATAAAATCTTTAAAAAAAAAAAGAAATGCAGACTGATTCTATGTGAACTCCTCAAGAGCAAGCAACTGTCATATTTATCTAACATAATGCCTGGCAAGTAGGTAGCACTTAGTAAGTACTACCTATGAGTCTCTGAGGGGATTGCTGGAAGGCGAGAAGGTTTGGAAAGGGATGTTATAATGGAAAAAATAATGTCTCCAGCTACAAATTGATGTCTTGGTTTCTTGATCCAAAGCTGGTAAGCAACTCTTGTCAGAACTTGGTCATTAAGATTGAGGGGTGGAGTAGATGATAGTACTCTCATCAGAACTGAATAAATCAATCCGAGAAATGAAGATAGCAGAAATCAAGAGCACTGCTGGAGAAAAGCACGTGGGACTAGAAGATAATAGATTCCGTGACTAAAGAGAAAGGAAACTATTTGCATAAATATGATCCACTTAGGAACAGGTGTACTGGAAAAAATAAAGGGAATGTGGGAAATGGGCTGGAGAGAGTCCTACTATTCATGTTTGAGGAAAACGAAGCACTGTCAAAAATATGGCAAATGTAGGAGGAAGAAAACCGTAACAATGTGATCAGAGAAGATGTAGAAGATTAAAGGCTAAAAAATCCTTAAGTAAAACCCAGATATATCTGTGTACATGCAAGTGAAATTCTTTCCCCTTTCATTATCCTTTGGAGAAAGCTTTTTTTTTAGTAGATTAAGGCAACTACTTGACATCCTTCACATCCATTCTGGAATGATTTGGCTTACATTGTGATTAGGGGAGAGTTAGACAGTATTCTTAGGATTTTCATAATCTTTATGTTTATCCAAACCTGGACATCAAGGAGATGATATTCAAGGTCCAGTATGCAATCTTTCCAGGGACACGAGAGGGTGTGATACTAAGAGCGCTCAATGAAAAGACCAGTGTAGAAAAAAAAAAAAACAACCCAATGACATATTCTGAATTGGAGCAAAGATCACATTTGCAGGCTTGTTCCTTCTGATTTTCTTAAAAAGCTACATATGGATATTAAAAAACTATATGTGTATATGTATCCATATATCCATATCCCTATTTATTTTTGTGTGTTAAGCTGAATAAAGGGGTTTGAACTGAAAGGGAATTATAAACAGTTATAAACAACTTTGTCATGGGGAGGTGATTAACCAATATAAACCTTTGTCAGAATTTACTCCACTGAGGAGCTGTGCATGAGGTGCCACACCCATGCTTCAGGCAGCCATTGACTTAAAGCCAGCAATTGGTAAATGAGGTTGTTTTGTTTTCTCACAACCCTGATCTTTCTTAAGTAACCCCAGGAGCCCAGGGAAGCCACTTCTGTTATAGGAGGATGTCTCTAGGTTTGGGTATGAGGAAGGATAAAAGGGGGGGATGCAGGAAAACTCAGAAGGGTTCTCTAGAGAATTACATTGCTTACTTCCCTCACCACTCAATTTTTGGGCAAGAAACCAGAATCTCTCCTTGGTCCCAAATTTGCACCTTGGAATTCAGGTGGAATGAAAGCACCACCCCAGCCAAGGAGGTGAGATAAGGATGCATCACTGTATCAGGCGAAGAACCCTTTTCCCTCCCCAGACAGTGGACTTCCAATAAGCCTTCCTTGGTTGTACACCTGTTTAGCCCTCCTCCTCATCATGCAGAAGCACTTTTTGGAAAAAGTGTCCTGCGTGTTATCTGTGGACCAGGGTCTATGGTGCAATATTCAGATGGCCACAAAGATACTGTGAATTACGCTTCCTAAAAGTGACCCTGTCTCTCCCTCTGCTCCCTGCAAGCTGGGAGGGTAGTCTTAGAAGACCATCCTCTGGAGGGTTCCTCTTGTTCCCCAGAGCAAGTCCTATCAAAGGCCACAGGCAGAAGCCTCTTTCAGACCCATTAAGTCCGGAGACCCTCAGAGGTATCATTACAATGAGGTTGCCAGGAAAGGAAGCCACACCCTGAAATCTGGGGATTCAGTGGATATCAGTTCCTGCAGCAGTCTCATCCCCAATTAAACTGTCCTTGTTCACTTATTTAATCAACACATTTACTAACCATATACAAAGCCCTATGTTTGGTATCTTCATGCAACTTAACAAATACACATTCTTGCTTCTGCCTCTCCTTGATACTTTTTTCCAAAATAAACTTCCAAAAACAGATTTCATGATTCCAAGCTTTGTGACCTTGGACAAACTGGTAAACTTCTCTGAGTCTAAGGTGCCTAATGTTTAAAAGGGGATAATTTCATAATGCTGTTGTAAGGATTATATGAGATGTTAAATATCCCTGGCATGATACTTGGCACATGAGTGCTCAATAATCCTACATAACCTTTCTTTCCTTCAAAGGACTTTCTCTTCCAGGACCTGCCAGCATCAATTATTCCACCTGATTCTTCACTGCTTGCTTGTGGATAGTCAAGCCCAGGGCCCCAATTCTCCTATCTTTGCTTCAGAGGCCTCACTGGTCCTCCCTTCCCTTTTGCCCTTTGCTCTAACAGAAGTTCCTGCCTCCACAAAAATCCAGCTTGGAGCCAACCTGGGCTACCACGGAGAATAAAATTTCTAATGGGGTGGGGGTTGGAATGGACAAAGGCAGCAGTCCCGCAGGGCCCCAGCCTCTCGACCACCTTGGAGGGACTCAATTTAGGGCACACCGAGCCCGAGAAAGGTCAAGGCCAAAGTGGGCATATGGGGAGTTACTCCTGGCCTAGATCCATGGCAGGCTCCTCTCCTTCCAGTCAGGTTCCTTCCAGGCAGTTCTAAGGCGCAGTCTAAAGTATGCCTTTATACAGGGGTCCTCTGTGGGGTCCATCTCCACCGCGCAGGCTCCTGAGGCTCCCGAGGCTCCCCTCTGTTCTCAAATGGTCTTCCACTGAGACAACATCAGGGACCACCCTTGCCCTCCGGTAGTCATACAGACGGTCTCTCTGCGGGGACAGTGCCTCCACACTGCGCCTCCCCATGGCAGCAAATGCAGAGAGAGTCCTGGGAGTCTCCATTCACACAGGGGTCCTCCTTGGGGGCGGCTCCCCGCACCGCCTCCGGGGCTCTCCCAAGGGGCAGAGGCAGAGACACTCGGGGTTTATCCACTTACTCAAGGACTCCCTTCGGGGCGGCTCCCACACAACACCTGAGTCCCCACAGGGTTGTCCGAGGCTCGCAGACCCGTCCCTTAGGGTGTCTGCCGGTCCCCGCCGCCCCCGCCCCCGCTTACCGGGACCGTCAGGGTGCGGGACGCGGGTCCGGGACTGGCGGACTCTACACCGCGAACCCCGCGCCGCCCATGGCCGTTCGGGAGCCGGCGTGCTGGGGCCAAGCGCCGGGAGCAGGCGGCGCGGGCGGAGCAGCAGGCTGAGGCGGCAGCGGCGGCGACGCGCTCGTCCCAAGCACACCCACCCTCTCCACCCCCCGCCCCGCGCGACTGCGGCGCGTGCGCCCGCGCGAGACGACCTCCGCGGGACCGTGGGCCAGCGCCCCGCCCCGCCCTCTGGGCTCAGCTGGCGACCTCGCGTGGGACTGAGGCGCTGAGGAAGCGCAGGAGGGCGGCGGCGGGCTCCGACGACCGGTGGGTCCGGGTAGCAGTGGGCGGCCCCGACCAGCGCCCAGCTCTGTGGCGCCGGGTCTTCTCGGCGGTCGGGCCGCCAGCCGCAAGGTCAGTGCCGGCCCGGAGGAGGCGTCCCGAGAGGGGACTCCGCTGCGGCTCGCGGCTCCCGGCTCTCGTCGCCCACCCGCCAAGGCGAAGCGTCCTGCCACCGCACCTGCCTGGGGAGGTGAGCATGACTCATCCAAGCGGCCTCGGCTGGAGCTCTTCCCTTTCTCACTAAACCCAGGTGCCCCGTCAAGGCCTTCGGGTCGACGACCCGCGCGTTAGGGCACTCACCTTCGCGGTACCCCACTGCGGAGTGTCCAAATGAGCCCTCACAAAGTGCTCTGCTGGCCCAGCTGCTCCTGTGCGCTGTTTTCTGAGGTTATTGGTCCTCCATCTCCAGCAGCAGGCAGTTCTGTAATGTAACCCACTTTTGGCTGCAGCAGCCTCATCCCTCAGACTATCTGAACAGCCAGCGTGTGAGGAGGCCCGCAGCCCTGAGGGCTATAACATGCATTACACCAAACTGCATCCTCTGACGAGGGTAAGAATAAGATCAAGTCATAAAGCACCTAACAACTAATTATATAGAAATAACTGAAGATATGCAAATGAAATGCAAAAACCCTTTGTAATTTCGCTTACATTTTTAACATACCTTCATTTTCTTGTGCATTTAAATACATATCTCAAATACAATTCACATAATTTTTTGAGCCTCTAGTATTTGTTACACCGTGTACTAGGCAGGTACTAGGGGATTTAAAAAAAAAAAAAAAAGGAAACTCATTTTAGCGTTAACATCGTGGGACTGCCAATAGGGGATATAAGATCAATATAGTACTACATGTTGCTGTCACTTTTTAAAAATTCAATTTAATTAACAGATACTGTATTTGTTTCAGAGGTAGAATTTAGTGATTCATCACTTGAAGTAATGAGCACTGGTGTTGTATGCTATTACTTGTAAACAAAGTACCAGGTACTATTCTAAAAACTTATTCTAAAAAAATATATTAAGTCGTGAATTTTTTTTAAAGATTTTGTTTATTTATTTGACAGATCACAAGTAGGCAGAGAGGCAGGCAGAGAGAGAGGAGGAAGCAAGCTTCCTGCTGAGTAGAGAGCCCGGATGGGGGGGCTCCATCCCAGGATCTTAGGATCAGAGCCTGAGAGGAAGGCAGAGGCTTTAATCCACTGAGCCACCCACACGTCCCGAGGTCGTGAATTTTTATACCATTCTTTTGAGGGACTGCATTTTGCTAGTGATGAAAATGAAACACAGAAAGTTAAAAATTTGCTTAATGTCACATAGCTAATACATGGTGGAGGTTGAGATTGAAATCCTTAAATTCTGACTTCAGACTCCCAGTTCCTATTTTACTGTACTGCCATTGAGAAAAAAAAGGATACTAACACTTATATATGGAATTTTAAAATTAGTACTTATTGCTTAGGAACCACTATCCCTCCTCTCCCTCCTCCCTGCTTGTGAAAGTAACACAAAAGAACAGACAGCTTTCTATTAGCTTGGAGGCCCCTAACCTTCTTTAGAATTACATCATATCAACAGTTTCACAGATACAATTCTCTGAACTCTTTTCAGTAAGTGTTTTATTTCCAGGCTGTTTGACAGGATATATGGAAGAAAAAGCTATAATAATATCACCATAGAAATCTCTGGTGGTTAATTCTTTCCTTCATTCAAAAAAAAATGTGTATTGTGCACCTATAGTATGTCAGGCACTGTGCTGAGAACTAGAAGGGGTGCAAATAGGATTAAGAAACAGTACTTTCCCTCAAGGAGTTGAATCTCATAGAGGAAGCAAGCATTGACAGAGAACCAGAATATAAAACTGAAAATGATTTGTGCTCAATAAAGGAATGAAATGCAATGGGAATTCCAAGGAGGAGAGAGACAGATTATTTCATGAAGAGAGGAGCTTGGGTTAAGGAAAACACATAATTGTTATTTAAGTTATTGTTGATATTTAAATGTTTTAAACAGTATGAGAATTTTTCAAATTCCCTTATTTCTTAAAAATTACATGCAAAGTTCTCATGTTCAGAGAAGACAACTTTTTTTTAAAAAAGATTTTATTTATTTCAGAGAGAGAGAGAGAGAGCATGAGAGGGGAGAAGGTCAGAGGGAGAAGCAGATTCCCCACGGAACTGGGAGCCCGATGTGGGACTCCATCCCCAGACTCCCGGATCATGACCTGAGCCAAAGGCAGTGGCTTAACCAACTGAGCCACCAGGTGCCCAAAAGACAACTTTTTACTGTAAGAATTGCTCTGAGTATGGAGAGGTTAGTAAATACAAACTTTTTGAAGATGGTTTACCTTATCTCTCCTAGTGAGGGGCACAGAATAGAATGATGATGCGCAAGATAAGATTTCAAGGTCAAAGAAATAGCAAAAGAAGTAAGGTGGTTTGCATTTCTCTGCTGATTAGTGATGTTAAACATATTAGTGATGTTAAACATGTGTCTGTTGGCCTTCTGTCTGTCTTCTTTGGAAAAATGTCTATTCAAGTCCTCTGCCCATTGTAAATCAGATTATTATTATTATTTTTTGGATGTTCTAGAAGTTCTTTATATGTCTTGGATATTAAGCCTTTCAGATATATCGTTTGCAAATATCTTCTCCCAGTCAGTGGTTGCCTTTTTATGTTGTTGATGGCTTCCTTTGTGCAAAAGCTTTTATTTTGGTACAGTCCCAATAGTTTATTTTTGCTTTCTCCTGCCTGGGAAGACATACCCATAAATACGTTGCTAAGACTAATGTCCAAGAGATTACTGCCTATTTTCTTTTAGGACTTTGATGGTTTCAGGTCTCACACTTAGATCTTTAATACATTTTGAGTTTATTTTTGTGTGTGGTGTAAGACAGTGGTCCACTTTCTTTGAGCTATCACCTCATACCAGTCAAACTTACTAGTGTCCAAAAGACAAGAAATAACAAATGTTGGCAAGGATGTAGAGAAAAGGGAACGCTCAAACCGTTGGTGGGAATGTATATTGGTACAACCACTTGGAAAATAGTAGGGAGGCTCCTCAAAAAGTTAAAAATAGAAATACCATATGATCCAGTAATTCCGCTGCTGGGTATTTTCCCAAAGAAAACAAAAACACTAATTTAAAAAGATATATATGCCCCCTGTGTTTATTGCAGCATTATTTAAAATAACAAAAAATGGAGGCAATCCAAGTGCCCATTGGTAGATAAATGGATAAAGAAGATGTAGTATGTGTACACACACACACACACACACACACGAATATTATTCAGCCACAATAAAGAATGAAATCTTGTCATTTGTGACAACATGGATGTACTTAGAGGGTATTATGTTAAGTGAAATAAGTCAGACAGAGAAAGACAAATACATTATGATTTCACTCATATGTGGAATCTAAAAAACAAAATGAAGAAATGATAAGCAAAAACAGACTTGTAAATACAGAGAACAAACTGGTGGTTGCCAGAGGGGAAGTGGATAGGCAGATGAGTAAAACAGGTGAAAGGGATTAAGAGGTACACATTTCCAGTAATGAATAAATTATGGAGATTAAAAAGTATAGCATGGGAATATAGTCACTAATATTGTAATAACATTGTATGGTGACAGATGGCAACTACACTTATTGTGGCAAGCACTGAGTAATGTGTAGAATTGTCAAATCACTATGTGGTACATCAGAAACTAATATGTCAGCAGTACTTCAATTATATATATATAATTGTTATTTAAGTTATTGTTGATATTTAAGTGTTTTAAACAGTATGAGAATTTATATAATTCTCATATAATTATATATTATCATATCTCATATAATTCATATATGAGATATAATTATCATATCTCATATAATTATATAATTTATATATATATATAAAATGCAGGGTGTGAGGGAACAAGGTATATCTGGGGCAGCCAGGACTCTGACAAGACTGGGTCAAAGATTGCTGGAGAGTAGTCTGTACCACACAGAATTGCTCTTGCAAGATAGAGATTGTGTTTTCAGCTATTTTTTTCCTTTTCTTTTAATTATGACAAACACATGCCACAAATCTTCTGGGATGGTCTGAGTTCAGAAATTTGATGCCATTATGTCCAGAAGTTCTTGTCATTAAGATTGACAGATATGGTCAGCATATCCATGTTAGTGTCTGGAAAGTAGAGATCATTGTATATTCAACAAATTTTTTTAAAAATATATTATTTATTTATTTGAGAGAGAGTGCGTACGAGGAGGGAGGGGGGCAGAGGGACAAACAGAATCCCTGTGGAATGCAGAACTTGACACAAGGTTTGATCCCAGGATCCTGAGATCATGACCTGAGTCAAAGTCAGATGCTTAACAGACTGAGCCACGCTGGTGCCCTTCAACAAATGTTTAATAAATAAGGAGTTTGGAAAGGCGGAGAGAGGCTATTTGATAAAGAACTCTAAATAGTTAGATGTTTTAATGTGGTAGGTAATACGGAGCCCATACAAGTTTTTGAGCAGGTAGTTGCATATTAAAGACCACCCTAAGCATTTAGAAGTGTTATCTTTTATTTATTTATTTAAAAGATTTTATTTATTTATATGACAGCGAGAGAGTACAAGCAGGGGAAGCAGCAGGGAGAGAGAGAAGTAGGCTCCCCACTGAGCAGGGAGCCTGATGTGGGGCTTGATCCCAGGACTCTGGGATCATGACCTGAGCTGAAGGCTGAAGCCCAATTGACTGAGCCACCCAGGTGCCTCTAGAAGTGTCTTCTTTTAGATAAAGGACTGAACAGAAGTGCACATGATCTTCTGTCAGTAGTTCAAACAAAATGTTACTTTTTTTTTTAAGATTTATTTATTTATCTGAGAGAGCTCAAGCAGGAGGGGCAGGGAAAGAGAGAGAGAATCTCAAGTAGACTCCTTGAGGGGGACGGAGCCTAATGGGGGGCTCAATCTCACAGCCCTGGGATCACCACCTGAGCGGAAACCAGGAGTCAGCTGCTTAACTCACTGCACCACCCAGGCACCCCAGTTCAAACAAAATTTTTAAAATATAAACGTGAGAATGAGTGTATTCTCTTTTAGGCCTTAGACAAAAATCTGTTGGGATATTGAGAAAACTGTGAGGGGGAAAAAGTAATCAGAATGCCACTGAATCCTATTTTGTACTTTTCATATTCTGAAGGTGACCTCCAGTGGAAGGTGCACACTTTTTGCTTACAGTACACATCTCTTGGGGCAACTACCTAGCACACAATTTCCCTTTGCTGTGTGTGGCTCTAGAGCACAAGGATAAAATCCCAGTGGCCTTCTTAGACTTAAGCAACTCACCCTCCTGGTTGCTGTGAGTTGATCCAGAGGTAGAGTAATTCTAAGTTTAACTTTTTGAGGAACTGGCAAACTGTTTTCCACAGTGGCTGAACCATTTTACATTCCCACCAGAATTGTATGAAAATTCCCATTTTTCTATACCTTCACAAACACCTGTTAAATTTTTTTTCTTGTTTTAGACATTGTAGTGGATGTAAGTGGTACCTCAGGGTGTTGTTG